TGGTCCTTGTCACAGCCTCGGGTCTTTGGGGATGGTGGCTGTTACTTTGTCCATCACAGCAGCACGGTTGGCAAACACTAGCCAGGACATGCTGGCCACATTAATAAATATGTCTGTGTTTCCAAGGAAGCCTAAATGTTGGAGGAAAAGATCAGAGGCTGCATGTTTTTACCAAGTCTAAGGAAAAACAAAGCAAAATGCCATGGGCTGCGACACTGCGCATGCAAATGGTCCCGCCGCTGTTGTGGGCAGGCACCCTGGGGGCTGAGGGCCTCACGGGGCCAGCACGGGAACACAGAGTTTATTTGCCCACATCCTTCCTGTTTGGACAGGACGCAAACATTCCTTACATCAGGTATATGATCCTTAGGCACAGGCAGGCTGAGGGAATCCACAGAAGGGTGTCCATAACTGCTTATCGCGCGCCAAGGCTGAGGGCCAACTGCAGGATTTCCAGGCTGAGGAGAGCAGTGTGGAGCTCAGTGGTCCCGCACAGGATAACGTTTGCAGCTCATCTCCATCCTGGGATGGTGTTTGGTGAACAGACTGAGCCAAAGATCCCCAGACAGAGCAGTAACAAACGTGTTACCAGTGATTATTCTCATTTGCTCTGTTTTCAAGCTCATTCATCCTCCTTCCGCTGCTCGAAGGATGCTTCCCCTCTGATTAATTGGAACTTGTATTCACACTTGCTGAGAATGGGTGCAGGTAATGAACAAAGAACGTGTTTTGAATCATCCAGGATGTTTTCTTTGCTGTGGGAAAATAAACTTCATTGTCATCGCTAACATGCCTACAAGTATTTACAACAAAAGGGTGTTTAGCATTTGGAATAAAACCAGAAATGATTGGAAGGAAGCCATCTCCAGTCACCAGACAGTCACAAGAAATGCTGGGCCACATCCTCAGAAGCTGCAGATAGCCCAGCCAGGTGTTTTGCTTCTGTTATGGTAGCAACGGCAAGCACGGGCAGCAGGATACGTGCGCGCGGTGCCCGCGTGCTCTGTGCTCCCCATGGCCATGCACTAGCAGCCTTGCTGTCGCACACAACCTTTCACCTTTTCCAAACTCCAATTGTTCCAATAAAAAAATTCAAGCCAAGCACTCTTAAAATAGGTGCGATGCGTGTACAGATGTGCCCTCCACGGAACAAATTCTTCCCTGTTTGTAGCCCTCATTACCATAGTTTCAGTGCTCATAGCATTTAGAAACAGGAACGCAAACAAAGCTCTGCCCTTGCGTCCCTTCCCAAATCACTGGATAAATAGGAGTCACCCATAGGGTGTGCACGCAAAGGGGGTGGCGGTCGGTGTCTAATGAGGTTTCAGGGAAGGAGAGGAAGGAAAAGCGACGCCTGGGACAGCGCGGGGTAGGTTTAGAGGCTGAGGGAGTTGGGCCTGTTCAGCCTGGAGAAGAGAAGTCTGAGAGGCTAATCAGTGTCTGTAAGTACCTCAAGGGAGGCAGTGAGGAGGATGGTGCTGGCCTCTTTTCACTGGTGGCCACTGACAGAACTAGAGGTAATGGCCACAAACTGAAGCACCAAAAGTTCCATAGGAACTTAAGGAAAACATTTTTAACAGTGAGGGGGACAGAGCACTGGAACAGGCTGCCCAGAGAGGTTGTGGAGTCTCCTTCTCTGGAGATCTTCAAAACCCACTTGGATGCAGTCCTGTGCCACGTGCTCTAGGTGACCCTGCGTGTGCAGGGGGGTTGGACTAGATGATCTCTAGAGGTCCCTTCCAACCTTAAGCATTCCATGATTCTATGATTCTCCACTCGTGCAGGTTTCCTACGCCTGGTGGAAGGCACCTGCCCACGGAGCGGGTCCCACTCAGCCCATCACACATGGGCTCTTGTGCCCCAGGAGCGGCTCTCAGCTTCCCAGTGAATCACAGTGATATCTGCTCCATGAAACAGCAAAACTGAAACAAGTGGGAAAAAAAAAGTTTCTTCAATTTCTTTTTTAAAGCTGAATTCCACCTGTGCTGGGAAAATGAAACTTTCCCTAGCTCTGCCATGTTTTGCACAATACAGTGCAAAAATACACAATTGGTCCAATCCCCTTTTATTTTCCCCTTACATTTTACTGCCTTTTTTTTTTTTTTTGGTCTGTGCATTTGTCAGTCTTTCTTTTTGTGCTTATGACACTGAGCGCTAAAAGCAGCATCAGCTGAGGTGAGGGAAATACCACATACTGTTAAGCTGGTCCTGAGCACACGGGCACTCACAGAATACTCTGTAGCAGCCAGCCAAGGAGTGACAGAGCTAGTCAGAAATAATGCCTTTTTTCCCCCCTGAAATATGAGAGGCAGCTATAATTTAGAAAAAAATAAAGGTAGCAAAATATTTACAAAAACAAACACAACTCAGATGTTCACAAACACCTGCAAACATTCCTCCCTAATCCTCTAGCTTTCAAAATGACAGCTGTTTATTGGCACGGCTGTGAATCAGACATATTGCTTCATCTCCATGAAAGTGCATCTAAAATTAGAAAGACACCTATTATTAATAAAAAAAAATCAAGACCTAGTTGTTATTTCTTACTATATTCATTCACCTGAAAAATACCCCTCCGAGA